AAAAAAAAAAACCCACATTAATCTAATTGAAAGAATAAAAAAACACTAGAAAAGAAACACTAGAAATAAAGAATACTAAAAAATGTAAATAAGATAGAAGTTATTCTAGCCAATGCTAACGTTTTTCTTTAATGGCGTGGTGGTTAAGGTGCTGGACTCCCACATAGCTGACTATGGTTTCAGTCCTGGACCTGGCAGCTTGCTTTCTTGTTACCCTCTATCTCCTCCCCAGCTCCATCTCTCTACGGTCTGCACATATGCCCTGTAGCAAATTTAAAAAAAAAAAGATAAATAATAAAATTCAGTAATTCCTTTTAAAAATGTATTTATTCAATATCATTTGTTGTAATTATTTTTTAATTTGACCAGAGAGAAAACGTGAAAGTAAGAAAGCAAGTTGCCAGGTCCAAGGTGTAAACTGTGATTGACCATGTGGGTGTCCAGCGCTTTGACTACCATGCTTTAAATAATTAATTCTTAAAAAAAAAAATTTCTTTAAAATATAATTGTTAGCTAAAAATAACAGTTGTGACATTTATAACATACGTAAAAGTAAAACATACCACCAGTAGCACAAAGGACAGGAGAATGGAGATAGAAACACACTTCTTTTGTAAGGCTCATTTATTATACTTGAGGTGGCATAACGTTATTTAATAGCTGGGTATGATAAGTTAAAAATACACTATGTAATCTAGGATAATCACTAAAAACAAATCAAGGTACCAAAATAAGCCAATAGCGAAGTTAAAACGTAATACTAAAAAATACACGATTCATGCAGAAATAGGGGAAAAAGTGGAAAACAGGAACAAAGGAAGAATAGGACAAGATGAACACAACAATACGATACCTATAAAGTCAAAGATATCAGTAGTTATATTAATGGCCTGAAGAACTCCTATTATTAAAAGGGCAAAAAGGCAAGACTCAACTATATTCTATTTATAAAGAGTCCACTTTAGAAATAAAGACACAAGTAAGTTAAGGAGGAAAAAAATGATATAGAAAGATATGCCATGTAAACACTCATAAGTAGCAAGCCAGAGCAGCTAAATCAATGTCAGACAAAGTAGGGTTCAGAACAGAGACGATTACCTAGTATCAGGAAAGCTATTTCCAAGACCAGGGATCGGTTCTCTGCAAGTGCATCGTGGTTCAAATGTGTATATATCGATAAACTAAGCTTCCAAATACAAAAATGAAGGACCAGCCCGTGGAATGGTGGTTAAGTGGCAGGATCCCAGTTAACCCAATGTGTGGTTTGAGTCCTAGACTCAGAGGCTTGAGAAACATGCTGGGCACATGTGCATGCATGCCCAAAATCCTGAGAGGAGAATGGAGGAGAAGGGATTGTGATGTGGCCATCCCTTCTGGTGGGTGCTTTCTTAATTTCCCTCTCTCTCTTTGTCTCTCTCTCTGGTGAGTGCACATGCTCTATAGTAAAAAATAAAATAAAAATACAAGAAACAAAACTGAATGACTTCAAAGAAAAAAAGACTAAATTAATCCCCTACTATATTTGGAAATTAAACATGCTTTCTTTCTCCTGTAATTATGAGAACAAGCAGACAGAAAATTTGTAGTGACATAGGACACTTAAAAATTATCCACCAGCTAGATTTTGTTAACTGTTTTGATCACTTGAGCCACAACTGCAGTATAGAGATTCCTTTCAAGTCACGAGGAACATTCACCCAAACAGACCATATTCTGGATCACAAAAAAATTCTCAATAAATTTAAAAGGTTTGAAATCATATAGTATGTCCTTTGACTGTAATAAAATTGACCCAGAAATTATAACAGAAAGATATCTGGAAAATTTCCAAATATTGGAAGATAATGAGTGTGTTTTTGAATGTCCCATGGATTAAGAAGAAATCAGAAAAAATATTTTTAATTGAATGAAATTTAAAATGCAGCATTCAAAGTAAATAAGTTGTAGAGAAAGTAATACCTAAAAGGAATTATAGGATTATTAACATAGATATTTTTAATATATATATTTTATTTTAATTTTTTAATACATTCAATCACATTTTTTTGAGAGGTTTTTGCTATAGGGTGCATGTTCTTACCAGAAAGACAGAGAGAGACAGAGAGACAGAAAGTAAGAAGTCACCCCCCAAAAAGAATGGCCACACAGCAATCCCTTCTCCTACATTTTCCTCTCAGGATTTTGGGCACATATGCACACATGCCCTGTGTGAGTTTTAAGCCACTGGGTTCGGGACTTGAACTGTGGTTGGCTACATGGGAGTTAAGCGACGTAGCCATTATGCCATCTGCTGGTCCCCCAACATGAACACATTTAAAGAAAGTTCTCAATTTAATAATCTGAGCTTCCACCTTCAGAAGTAGTGCTGGTCTTATAGCCTAGTGGTCAAGGAAGTCAGATCATGCATGCCTGACTGGTTTGAATCTCACTGAGCTCAAAAGCACATTGAGCACATACATGTACATGAATAGCCAAAATCCAAGATGGAAAAATGGAGGAAAGGGATTGCAGTGTGACTATGCTCACTTAGAGGGTGCTTTCTGCTCCCTCTCTATCTCTCTGGTGAGTACATATTCCCCTTTGCAATTAAAAAATGAAGAAGGAGGATGAGTAGGAGGAGGGGTGAGGGAGGAAATGAAGGAGAAAGTAGGCTTAAAGCCAAGTACAAGGAAGAAATAATAAAGATAGAAGGTAAAATAAATGAAATCAAAACAGGAAAACAATAGAGAAAAATCAATAAAATTAAAGCTGGTGCTTTTAGAGATGATACTCTTTACTAATAAGGAAAACAAGAGGAAACCTCACAACAGGTCTTATAAATATTAAAAGGACAAGGGAATATTATGAATAAGCCAATAAAATTTGACAACCTTGCTGAATGAGGCACATCCTTGAAAGATACTAATTACCAAAACCAATTCAAGGAAAAAGAGAAAAACTCGAATATTTAAGCACATATTTTTCTACTTATAAGCATTTATTGGAGGAAATACAATTTTTTTCTTTTCTTTGACTAGAGGTTGCATATACTCACCAGAGAGAGACAGAGAGATAGAAAGAGAGAAGGGAGAAAGCACCCTCCATGGGGAATGGTAATGCTGCAATCCTGTCTACTCCATCTCACCTACTTTCGGGATTTTAGGCACTCATCAACACATGTCCAGCATATTTTTCGAGCCACCATGCCCAGGATTCAAACTGGGCAATTGGCCATACAAAATCCAGCTACCTTAACCATTAGGCCACAAAACCTACCCAAAGTGCAGTATTTTATGCAAAGAACTTCTTTTTAATAGCAGACCCATTCGTAACACGTAGAAACAACTACATGTCTATCAGCAGAGAAATGGGAAAATAAATTGTGGTATAAAAAGTTGTCCATAAAATGGAAAACTCTTCAGCAATAAAAAGAAACAAGTGATCAATACACATGAAATATATATAAATCTAAAAAAAAAAAGCGCATATGTTTAGAATTTTATTTGTATGAAACTACAGAAGCACGGAATATATACAGAGAATTGTCAGTAGTTGTCTGGGACCAGGGACTGGTGGAAATATTCTGTTTCTCGATTAGGGTGATGGTAACAAAGGCATATGTATTTGTTAGTATTTATCAAACTATACATTTTGAGTTTTTTGAAGAATTATTTATATATATATTTAATTCCATTTGCCATTATTAATATATATTTTTTTCAAGTCAAACCAGTGAGAGAGAAAGTGAGAAAGGGAAAGTAAGGAAGCAAGCCGCCACATCCAGGACTGAAACCATGCTTGGCCATGTGGGAGTATAGTGTCTTAGCCATCATGACACTTGCCAACCCAAAACTATACCCTGTAAATTAGAATGTTTTATTGAAGATTGATTTTTTTAAATGACCTTGAAAAAATGATTTTAAAAAATGCAGCGGAGGGGTTAGCAGATGGCATAGCAGTTACATCCCTGAACTCCAACACAGCCGACTGTGGTTCAAGTACTTAACCTAGTGACTTAAAACTCACATCGGGCATGTGTGTGTGTGTGTGTGTGTGTGTGTGTGTGTGTGTGTGTGTATACAAGATCCCAGGAGGAGAATAGAGGAGAAGGGATTCAGTGTTGCCATCCCCCTCTTGGAGTGATTTTTCACTTTCTCTCTCACTGTCTCTGTCTCTCTCTGGTGAGCACACATGCTCTAAGGCAAAAACCTCTAAAAAAACCCAACCAACCAAACAAAAAAACTCAGTGTGAATGAGTGTATGGAGGACATCTATAAAGTTCTTTTCCTAAGAAGAAGGAGAAAATGGATGCTTTGCGCTTTGTTACAGGCATTGCTAAGTTTTATCTGTCTGACAGATACTCAAATTGACACAGAAAGTCATTGGCTAGGCTTTGAAACCAAAAGGTAAAATTCTGTATTGACAATAAGGCTTGGGGTCATCTACAGACAGACTGTCCTTAAAAGTTAGGGCTGGATAAGATGAGCTAGGGGAACAATGTATTAATAGATACTGAAGAGAATGGAGCCCAGGGGAGAATCTTGAGGGTGACTAATAGAGAAGGAATGTGCATGGGAGGAGGAGTCCACAGGAAAATGGAATGGAAAATTGGAAGTCAGGATGCTGAGGGAAGGGATTGTTTCAGCAAAGAAGTCTTTACTGCCAAATAATTCTGATGAGGAAGTCAGTATCTGAAAAGTGGTTACTGAGTTTAGTTATTTCACGGGTGGGGCCATTAGGTCAATGGTGACTTGGTTTCTTTCTTTTTTGGCACGAGAGAAATGGAGCTGTGTTTCAGTGTTGATAAGAATGTACCAGTAGAGAGGGACAGTGAAGGGAATAATTCTAGAGTGAACTCCTTAGGGAAGCCAGAAAGGTTAGGATATGGATTCAAGGTGCAGAGATTAACCTTAGACAGGAAGAGAGACACTACAGGATCAAGCAGGTTGTGGAATGGGCAGAGGGAACCGCGTCAACTCCTTCCAACTAATGGTCTTTGTATTGGTCTAATTCTGCAATAGGAATGATCAACATTTTGCACGGAATGGGTTTAAGGCTCCTTGCTTTGGGACACCACACACCTTTTATGGTGAGAGATGTTTATTCTTTTGAAAATGCATATCACATTTTAAGAATCAATAAATGTCCTGGCTGGTGGATAACTGGAATCGTGTGTGCTTGCTTTCAGCACATTGGCATGGCTCATAACTACAGGAATAGCAGTCAGGCTGTGCAAGCCGTCCGTGATGCTGGCTATGAAATATCTCTGGGTTTGATGCCAAAGTCAATAGGGCCCTTAACATTTGTGTTCACAGGGACTGGTAACGTGTCCAAGGTAAATTCCATCTTTCTCTTTTGGTAAAGCAGTCTGAAACTGACTCTAACTTAAAGAATGTGGGCATTTTGCGGGCATTTAAAGAGAATGAATGGGCATTCTATTTATGATACTTGTCTTATATTTTTCTCATAGTGAGAAGCAATAATGATTCCAATGTTTTATTTATTTTTAGTTGATTCCAAACTACCAAATGCTTGGAATGCTACTCCTTCCCTCCCTCTTTTCCTTCCTTCCTTCCTTCCTTCCTTCCTTCCTTCCTTCCTTCCTTCCTGATTGGGGGAAAGGGGAGTAACTCATTGTTAATGGTGTATAGTTCTGTTCTTAGGGTTTCACTTTCACACTTTCACCACTGAGATGTCCTTAAGTTTGTTTTGTTTTGTTTTTGAGAAGTTTTTACTATAGGGCGCGTGCACTCGCCAGAGAGACAGAGAGAGACACAGAGACAGAAAGCGAGAAATCACCCCCCAGGGGCGATGGCCACGCCACAGTCCCTTCTCCTCCATTCTCCTCTCGGGATCTTGGGCACAGATGCACATGCGCCCGGCGTGAGTTTAAACCACTGGGTCCAAGACTCGAACCACGGTTGACTACATGGGAATCCAGTGACATAGCCATTACACTAACTGCTGGTCTTGAGATTTCCTTAAGTTTGGAACTGACCCCAGAATGTATTTTAAAATATTACTTGGAGTTTTGCCAATAAGATATCAGGAATATTTAATTAAAGACTGGAATTACTGCTTTTCTTTCTTGGAGTGGCTTTGAGAATGCATGTGCCCTGAGAAGTACAGAGAAACTTGTAATGGTAACATAAATATTTCTTCAGAGAAAATATTTTACAGGTAGGGTATCTCTGTATCATATTTTGAGGTAGGTATCTTATTTTTTTTTCTTTGTAGAAAATATAGTTTCCCCATTGTAAATAATTTCTGCAGTGGAGCAAACAGTAAACAGAAGTATTTTATTGGATTCTCACTTCTAAACAGTCTTGTAGATATTCTGAGTAACTTAAGTAAAAAAGTTAAGCTCCTTCTAATGCATGCTTTTCCAACTGGAATTAAAGCTAGTCTGCAGGGCCAACAGATGGCGGAGTGATTATGCTGCTGGACTGTGATTAGCATTCCCATCCCAGTGGCTTGAAACTTACATCAGATGCATGTGAGTGTCTGCCCAAGATCCTGCGAGGAGAATGGAGGAGAAGGGATTGCGGCATGGGCATTCCCCCTCGGTGGTCTTTTCTCACTTTCCCTCTCACTGTCTCTGTCTCTCTCTGTCTGGTGAGTGTATGCACCTTAAGGCAAAAACCTTTTTTTAAAAAAAAAACTAGTTTGCAGACTGCATGCAGGAAGCATATCTGCACCTCTGTGTTACAATTCTGTTTGCAGGGCAGGGCAAGTGGAGCTATGTAATTGTGGGGAGCAACAGCAGAATCTTTGCAGGAAACCATATCAATTCTTTTCCCATTGATTTTTTTCATTTTCCCATTCCTTACTTATAGGGAGCCCAGGAAATTTTTAATGAATTGCCCTGTGAGTATGTGGAACCCCATGAATTAAAAGAAGTTTCCCAAACCGGAGGTAAGGAGAAGGTATAACTGTTATCTTTGACTGTTTTTTAACAGTCTCTGTTTTATAATATTTTATCACCAAACAGCTTAATCATTTGTCACCCACTTTGCTAATTTCATTCTCCTCTGCAAGACCTCAGAAAAGTGTACGGGACGGTGTTAAGTCGTCATCATCATCTTGTCAGGAAAACAGATGGTGTATATGATCCTGTAGAGTATGACAAATATCCTGAGCGCTACATAAGTCGTTTTAATACCGATGTGAGTATCATATTCAGGTTTTGAGTTGGTTGCTAATGATATACTATAGTTAGGATGTTTTATAAGGAGAGAAGTGATGAATGTGCACATTAGTTAAAAGTTCCTTGTATTGAATTGTTCTGAGTCTTTTGGGTATTCCAAGTTGGACCCAGGCTTTTACCGTTGTTTGGAGTGTCCTCTGCTTACTGGTTGTGGTAGTCTTTGTGGGTATGCCCTTGGCTTCATTGTCTCTGGCTCTGGTTCTACTTCAGTTGTGTTTGTGCCCAATAGTGCTAAACTATTTCCTGTGAATAAGTGTTTTCTGTTCTTACCTTGCATTAGTCAGCACTGTTGGCAAAGTATAATGCCTAGGAGACTTGATCTCAACATAGCTTTATCCTTTCTATGGCCGTAAATTGCAGTCAAAAACCTCAGCTAGCTGCCTTGAAATGCATGCCAATGACAGGGTCCAGGGTGAAACAGTATAACTTGATAAGCACAGGCTTATTCCCGTTCTACAAAGAAGCTACTTACACATAAAATCTTTCTGACCTCATTTTATAAGAAAGGCAAGGGAACCAGCAGTTAGCGTAATGGCTATGTCGCTGGACTCCCACATAGTCGACTGCGGTTTGCGTCCCGGTCCTGGTGGCTTAAAACTCACACCAGGTGCGTGTACGTGCGTGCCCAAGATCCCGAGAGGAGAATGGAGGAGAAGGGATTGCGGCGTGACCATCCCCCATGGGGGGTGATTTCTCACTTTCTGTCTCTGTCTCTCTCTGTCTTTCTGGTGAGCGCACGTGCCCTATAGCGAAAATCTCTCCAAAAAAAAAAAAAGTAATATATGCAAAGATCTTGTAGTCATTGATCATGCAACCATCCATCTCAAAATAAACCAACAAACCAAACAATAAACACAACAAAAATGTATGCATTTATTGTGAAAATGAATGCTTTAAATAATTTTAAACATGAACAACATAGCCTTTTTAGATTCTGGTATGAAACGTAGCTGTTACATCATGATATAGACAAGAACGCTTACCATTGGCTTGAGAATGCTTGAGCTATTTGAGAAATACAAATCACAAAACTACTTTCCAGCTGAAAATTCTTGAATCTGGTCAAATCCACCCCTTCTTTTCCCCCAGTCACATAAATATTGGTGATTGGACACATCCGAAAACTTTTAGTAAAATTTTTAATGAATTGCCCTGTGAGTATGTGGAACCCCATGAATTAAAAGAAGTTTCCCAAACCGGAGGTAAGGAGAAGGTATAACTGTTATCTTTGACTGTTTTTTAACAGTCTCTGTTTTATAATATTTTATCACCAAACAGCTTAATCATTTGTCACCCACTTTGCTAATTTCATTCTCCTCTGCAAGACCTCAGAAAAGTGTACGGGACGGTGTTAAGTCGTCATCATCATCTTGTCAGGAAAACAGATGGTGTATATGATCCTGTAGAGTATGACAAATATCCTGAGCGCTACATAAGTCGTTTTAATACCGATGTGAGTATCATATTCAGGTTTTGAGTTGGTTGCTAATGATATACTATAGTTAGGATGTTTTATAAGGAGAGAAGTGATGAATGTGCACATTAGTTAAAAGTTCCTTGTATTGAATTGTTCTGAGTCTTTTGGGTATTCCAAGTTGGACCCAGGCTTTTACCGTTGTTTGGAGTGTCCTCTGCTTACTGGTTGTGGTAGTCTTTGTGGGTATGCCCTTGGCTTCATTGTCTCTGGCTCTGGTTCTACTTCAGTTGTGTTTGTGCCCAATAGTGCTAAACTATTTCCTGTGAATAAGTGTTTTCTGTTCTTACCTTGCATTAGTCAGCACTGTTGGCAAAGTATAATGCCTAGGAGACTTGATCTCAACATAGCTTTATCCTTTCTATGGCCGTAAATTGCAGTCAAAAACCTCAGCTAGCTGCCTTGAAATGCATGCCAATGACAGGGTCCAGGGTGAAACAGTATAACTTGATAAGCACAGGCTTATTCCCGTTCTACAAAGAAGCTACTTACACATAAAATCTTTCTGACCTCATTTTATAAGAAAGGCAAGGGAACCAGCAGTTAGCGTAATGGCTATGTCGCTGGACTCCCACATAGTCGACTGCGGTTTGCGTCCCGGTCCTGGTGGCTTAAAACTCACACCAGGTGCGTGTACGTGCGTGCCCAAGATCCCGAGAGGAGAATGGAGGAGAAGGGATTGCGGCGTGACCATCCCCCATGGGGGGTGATTTCTCACTTTCTGTCTCTGTCTCTCTCTGTCTTTCTGGTGAGCGCACGTGCCCTATAGCGAAAATCTCTCCAAAAAAAAAAAAAGTAATATATGCAAAGATCTTGTAGTCATTGATCATGCAACCATCCATCTCAAAATAAACCAACAAACCAAACAATAAACACAACAAAAATGTATGCATTTATTGTGAAAATGAATGCTTTAAATAATTTTAAACATGAACAACATAGCCTTTTTAGATTCTGGTATGAAACGTAGCTGTTACATCATGATATAGACAAGAACGCTTACCATTGGCTTGAGAATGCTTGAGCTATTTGAGAAATACAAATCACAAAACTAGTTTCCAGCTGAAAATTCTTGAATCTGGTCAAATCCACCCCTTCTTTTCCCCCAGTCACATAAATATTGGTGATTGGACACATCCGAAAACTTTTAGTAACCTAGTTACCATGTGTGCATGCGGGTAGCACATTTCTCCATGGAGCTTACAGATGTCTTGATTTAATCTTTACAGCATTCCTTTGAGGAATGAGGTACGTATTATCCCCATCTGGCAGGTAAGGAAAGCAGAGCCCAGAGATGTTGAGGTAGCATGATTTAGAGCATAGTCTGTGGTGGCTGAGCTGGAAATAGAGCGCTGGGTCATTTGACTTTGTCCTTACCTTTTGGTTTGCTATGTTTCCCTTTTTATTTGCTATGCAACATATTGGCAGCACAAAAATATTAATATGCTTATTATGTTCACATAGGAGGAGTCTTCAAAAAGTACAGGGAAAATACCCATGATGAAAAGAACTATGTATGAATTAAACATTTTTTTTTTGCATCGAATAAATGTACATGTTAAATCCATTTTCTACAAACTTTTTGAAGTCCCCATGTAGTCCTCTCTCATGGCATAATTCTCTACTACAGTATGGGTGGGCACTCACTTTGCCTCAAAAGATGGCCACTGACTGAACGATGTCGAAGTCCATTAGAGGGAGCATTTTACTATTTCTCCTGGACTTGACTGATGGCTCTCTTTCAGCATGCTGTATTGAAAAAGACTGTTTCCTGTTGTTGAACTTGAAACTTGCCTTACAGATTGCACCCTATACAACTTGCTTAATTAACGGAATCTACTGGGAACAAAACACCCCTCGCCTGCTAACCCGCCAAGATGCTCAGAGTCTTCTGGCTCCGGGCAAGTTCTCGGTTGCTGGTGTGGAAGGCTGCCCTGCATTGCCACACAAGTAAGGATCTGACGTTAGCCAAAGTGGCAGATTTTTAGCCGCAGGACCCATGATTAGGGGATCAAAGAATATTACGTTTCCATGTATCACAAGACATGATTGTTAATAATTAGCTGTTTGCCTGACCTCACTTGACTTTTTGGTAGCATTTGACAGGGAATCTTTCCGCCTCAAAACTCTTTTTTTTTTGAGAGACTTTTGCTATAGGGCATATGTGCTTGCTGGAGAGACAGAGAAAGGGAAAGTGAGAAATCACCTCCTGAGGGATGGCCACACTCTCTTCTCCTCCATTCCCCTCTCAGGGTTTTGGACATGTATGCACAGTCATCTGGTGTGAGTTTCAAGCTGCCAGGTCCGGGACTTGAACTGTGGTCAGCCATTGGCCTAATTACTATGCCACCTGCTGACCCCAAAATGCTCTCTTTTTGAAAATATTCCTTCTTCTGTCCTCCCTCCCTTCCTTCTTCCTTGTTTCTTTCATGAAAGAGAGAGAGAGAGAGCAAAGACATGCCCAATAGATTCTCCATGTCACAAGCCACCCCCAGCTTCAACAGCCCAGATCATGGGCACACACCTCCCAGCATGTTCAGGGAGGTCTCTGGATGTAAATCTAGAACCTTCCCAGGTGGGTCAGCCCCACAGTGTCTTGTTTTACCACTGTGCTACTGGCTAGTCCTCAAAACTCTCTTACTTATTTATTTTGTTTTTTTTTTTTTTAGAGGTTTTCACTATAGAGTGTGTGCGCTCGCCAGACAGAGACATAGAGACAGAAAGCGAGAAATCACCCCCCAGGGGGGATAGTCAATCCACAATCCCTTCTCCTCCATTCTCCTCTCGGGATCTCAGGCACACAGGCACACATGCCCAGCATCAGTTCTAAGCCATCCGGGTCCGGGACGCGAACTGCGGTGACTACGTGGGAATCCAGCGACATAATCCTTAACGCTAACTTCTGGTTCTCTCAAAACTCTCTTTTGACATTGGTGACTCCACACACAACTCCAAAGCAACCCCCTTAGAGAATTCTTGTCCTGCTTCCCCATCCTCATCTCTCTCTGCTCTGTTACTCAGTTTGTTTTTCTAAATTTACGATAGTTTATTTTTCTATATTTATGAGTTTTTTCCCCTCTACTAGAACTTAACTTCATTAAGGACAGAGGTCCTGTTTATCTTGGCCACAAGTATCCAGTTCATTTCCTGTTACATGATAGGAATTCAAGTAATTAATAAATATTGGATTAATTGATTAATCAATACATATTTATGGATCACCTAGTCTGCCTGGTTCTCTGCTGAGCTGAAGGATAGAGGAGTTTGCTGCTCTCATGTACGTGGCTGGCAGAGGAAATGGCAAAGGAACGCGAGGAGCAATAACATTACAGGAGCTGGGAAGAAAATGGAGCATTGCATGCAGCAAAGCCTTATAGGGAGGAGAGAAGGCATGAGAGTTTTTAAAGAAAATTTATTTGATTATTTCTGATTTACATTTAACTGTTGTTAGGTACATATTCTTTTTTTTTTTTTTTTTTTAAATTGCCATAGGGCACATGCACTCACCAGAAAGAGACAGAGAAGAAGAGGGAGAAAGCACCCCTGGTGGAGCTTAGATACCCTGCAATCCCTTTTCCTCCCTTTCTGCATCCTGCTGTGATTTGGGGTACACAAACACACATGTATGGTACATTTTTCAAGCCACGGGGGCTGGGATTCAAACTATGGTAGATCATGTGGGCGGGATCTTGCTCCCTTAACCAATAGACCGTGGGGCTGGCCCCAACATGGTTTCCCAAAGCATGTGTGCATCTTTAACAAAGACCATTATATTGTGTTGTGTGTTGTGTAACTTTGACTTTTAGACTACTAGCTTTTACTTAAAAAATCATATATATTTTTTATATATTTATATTTAAATTGTATAAATATTTGGCAATGACCTGTTCTTTCTTCCCCCTCTGTTGTGGTATACCATTCAATAACTTATTTGCCATGTTTATACACAGTCGTGTGTCTGTAAATCATTTTGGGGGTTACGGGGTGGGAGGAGGGGCTCGGGATGTGTCCTGAACCACACAGTGTCCTGAAGACTATGAGGTCAACAGACAAGCATTTCGAGTGATAGGATTGGTGCTCGATGAATTTGGAGCCACTAAAGCACAATCTAAAACGCCTACCTCCAGTGCAGTGTGGACAGGTGGTAACTATAGGTTGAACAGGAAAACTGTCTTCAACCTCCGAAAGCTTTCAGGCACTAGACTGAGACTTTTCTTCATAATTCTAGAGATTTTCATGTAATCACATGTAAAATGATGTAGCACTGGCCCAGTCATGGTGGCTTAAGTTGTAAGTGCCCTGCGATGTGGTATTGGAGATCATATGGAAAGGTTCCAGGTTGCTTCTACCTGGTTCAGTTCTACCTGAATCTGTCAGGTGAGCCCAGATTCTGGTTGGCTGCAGAGGCTGGGGGAGGATATGGTGTAAAGGCCTTGACTCTCTCTTTCTCTGTCTCAGGAACTAAAGTTAAATGTAAATATACAGTACTAAGAAGAGTAGCGGTAGCATAACAGAGCCATCATGAGTTATTTAAGGAGAGCAAACTAGGTTAACTTTAAGTAACCTAAGTAACCTGTTGTCAGTGATTTTTCTAGGGAAAGGATTTTCTATTTTTGATTCTTCTTTTTTTTCATTCCTTTCTTCCTTCTTCTCTTCTTTCCTCTTTCCTTCTGGGAAGATTTTTTTTTTTTTTTTTGTCCCAGCACCACACAGTATCTTGAAGCTTATGAGGGAAGAAAAAGAGCCTAATGACCTGGGAATTTTTGACACCTGCATTAGAAAATGTTCCAAGCACCTTTCATTTTCCTTTTTTTGTCTTATGAGTACTTCAGAGTTCCATCCTCTCATCTAAGTGTTGGTGTTATTTTCAGATTGGTGGCCATATGCGACATTTCAGCTGACACAGGAGGCTCCATAGAGTTTATGACTGAGTGTACGACAATAGAGCGTCCCTTCTGTATGTATGATGCAGACCAGCACATAATTCATGACAGGTGAGTTGGCTAACGCCATTAGGTGATGAGAGGTGTATAATAACACTTCACTTATTGGGGCCAACAGGTGGCGTGGTGCCTAAGACACTGGGCTCCCACGTAGCCAATTGTGGTTCAAATCCTGGATTTGGAGGCTTAAAAATCATGCCAACCATGTGTCTGTGCATGCCTAAAATCCTGAGAGGAAAATGGAGGAGAAGGGTTTGCAGCATGGCCATCCTCCTGGGAGGTGATTTCTCACTTTCCCTCTCTCTCTCTCTCTTTGTCTCTCTCTTCCTGATGAGCACATGTGCCCTGTGGCTCCTGGATTTGGAGGCTTAAAAATCATGCCAACCATGTGTCTGTGCATGCCTAAAATCCTGAGAGGAAAATGGAGGAGAAGGGTTTGCAGCATGGCCATCCTCCTGGGAGGTGATTTCTCACTTTCCCTCTCTCTCTCTCTCTTTGTCTCTCTCTTCCTGATGAGCACATGTGCCCTGTGGCAAAAACCTTAAAAAACAAAACAAAACAAAAACAGCTTAACTTATTTACCTTGATATACTGATCTAAAACACTCAACATTTTACGTCTTTATGGAGACATGGAATATTGGAGAGATATGCTTAAACATATTTAAAAATGAGATACATAAACCATATGTAAATTTGAATACTAAGATACCTGTTACATAGGAGATAGGCTGTTAGAGAAGGAAAAAAACTTTGTTTTAGAACTCTGTATATGTTCCTATCTAGAGTTGTACAAAGTTACAAACAATAATGAAGCAAATACCACGGAGTAGATATCTGAACAAGTTACATCTTACAAATAATATTCTGTACATATGAATAAAACATATTGTTTTTCCTAGCGTTGAAGGTTCTGGGATTCTGATGTGTTCCATTGACAATCTGCCAGCCCAGCTTCCAATTGAAGCTACAGAATGTTTTGGAGACATGCTCTACCCCTATGTTGAAGAAATGGTAAGCAGACTCGTCACATAAGCAACAGCTGTGTGACTTTAAGTAGAAGCGTGGAGGGATCCCATCAATGTTCTGGTCTTCTATACCTAAGAAATCTGCTGTAAAACGAAATACCAACTCTTCCCTGAAATACTCATTGATATTCTATACATTATTATTATTATTTAATTAATTTCTACACATTATGCTTGCTTGTCTCATAGGGTGATTCTATCACTGCCTTCATGCTTAATTAGAATTATGTTTGTCTTACATTATGAATATTTTATTTGGAATGTTCATGATATGGCAAATAGGATTTATTTTCAAGTCTTCCTGCTGTCCAGGTCAATGTATGTTGAGACATTCTTACTGTGCTGTTATAACAGATTTAAAAAATCATAAATATAGAAAATGTTACTGGATTTTAGCCACTAATATTTAGTGAAATGGTGGTTTATGCTGAGATCATGTCTTACTTTCTGTGTTTAACTATGGAGAAAATGTTACCTAAATCCCATTTCGTTGACCAAGGAAAACTGTTCTCATTTGGGCGTGTGCTCTGTGTTCATACCTATCCTGCTTTATTCCCATTGTTAATGGCTGTCTGCCTTTAGCAATGATTCCAAAGGTATGGAATGTGGTTCTTCTCATAGCTTCACACAGGAGCTCTCATGCTAAAAAGGGACAATAGTGGGGCAAAGATAAATCAAACTTCTAGTCTAGGATCTTTTCTTTTATATTCCATTTTGACCCTTTGCTTTTCCTCTCGGAATATAGCAGAAGATAGATAGAACAGGCTTTAGAAAATATAGACAGGCACCAGCAGTTAGTGTAATGGCTATGTCACTGGACTCCCATGTAGTCGACTGCGGTTTGAGTCCCAGACCCGGGGGCTTAAACTCACGCCGGGCGTGTGTGCATGCGTACCCAAGATCCCGAGAGGAGAATGGAGGAGAAGGGATTGTGGCGTGGCCATCGCCCCTGGGGGGTGATTTCTCACTTTCTGTTTCTCTGTCTCTCTCTGTCTTTCTGGCAAGTGCACACGCCCTGTAGCAAAAACAACCTCTAAAAAAAAAAAGAAGAAAGAAAATATAGACAGTGGGCATTATCATGGTTGGGCACAATATTGCACTGAGTATGTGTCAGATAGTGTTCAAAGTGCTTATTTTATTTTTTTCTTGTTTGTTTAAAGAATTATTTATTTAATTAAATTAATTAATTATTATTGTTATTTTAAAATTTGCTGTAGATCACATGCACTCACCAGAGAGAGAGACAGAGACAAAGAGAGGGAGAGAGAAACAGAGAAGGGGAAGTAAGAAAACAAGATGCCAGATCTAGGACTTGAACCACAGTCGGCCATGTAGGAGTCCAGCGCCCTAACCACCACACCATCTGCTGGCCCCTTTATATATTTTATTAAATACTCATGAGAATCCTGTTAGGTAGGTACCATTATTTTTTTAGAGAATTATTTTATTTAACTTTATTTATTTTTAATTTTATCAGAGAGGGACAGAGTGAGTGAGAGAGGGAAAGTGTGAACGCAAGCCTCCAGGTCTGGGACTTGAACTGCTGTTGGCCATGTGGGAGTTTAGCGTCCTTAACCACCACACTACCTGCCGGCCCTGGTAGATATCATTATTAAGCCTATTTTACAGATTAAGAAGCTGAAGCATAGAGAAGTTAAGGCTGAGAAGAGTTGCTGATGCAGACTAGGTCGGACATGTGACTCAGTTGATGCTGAGGAATCAAAGTGTCAGGGAGAGTATGAATACCAGGCTAAGTGGCCGAACAATATGTGTATAAAAAACAGAACCGAAGTAACAGCAAATTTTCCTGAATGGTTACCATTTTTGACACTTTTCATTTATTTCCTTTTGGTCTCATTTCCCTGTAGACTGAATAATTTAATTTATTACTTCTTATAGTACAGATTTGCTGCTGACAGATTCGCTTAATTGTCCTTTATCTGAAACTGTCTTCATATTCTACATTCTGGCCTGCACATGTCAGTTTGGAGGTCGCTTAGAGGTTTGGGACGGAATTTGTGCTGAAGTTGAACTTCTGTTTCTCTAACTCTGTCCTTTCTGGCATTTCCCTCTCACTGTATGGAGAATGTGGTTGCTTTAGACTCCATCATTGTTTCTTTTGGCCAGAAAGTCCTCTTCTTACTCAACACATGTAGATAGTTACTCTCTCTCTTTTTTTTTTTTTTTTTGAGAGGTTTTTGCTACAGAGCGTGTGCGCTTGCCAGAAAGACAGAGAGAGACAGAGAGATAGAAAGTGAGAAATCACCCCTCACAGGGGATGGCCATGCTGCAGTCCCTTCTCTTCCATTCTCCCCTCGGGATCTTTGACACGCATGGACGTGTGCCCGGTATGAGTTTAAGCCACCAGGTCCGGGACTTGAACCACGGTCAACTACATGGGAGTCCAGCAACATAGCCATAATGCTAACTGCTGGTCCCTACTCTCTTTTTTTTTTGTTCAGAGTTTATAGTCGTGATCTATAGGGGGATTGTTCTGGTAGAGCTTAGTCTTCCATACCTAAAATATAATTCTCTATTCCTAATGAAGAGGTTGAATCAACTCTTGACACTAGTAGAGTTTTAGGGTAGCTAGAAGAGATATTAGTGAGTTGTTAACCATAATTCATGTTTTTAAATGCTAAAATTATGTATTTCAGCACAACTCTTACTTTAGTAAGCCAGTTAGAGAAAATAGTAAATACTGATTTCTCTTGTGGATAGATTTGACTGTTAAGTTCTTCAAATGTCTTTTTATTTTAACTACTGTAACATCATACCACTCAAAGAAGTTGCTGTAAACCATTTCAGCTTTCAAATTATGTGCTGGAATTTTGATTGATGGTTTATTTCTTTTAGACCTTAGAATACCATATTTCATTCCTATTTTGTCCTTCATCAAAGTTGCCTTTTGGTCAATATAATTCATCTCAAAAAAGATGTCAGCAAAAAAGCAAACTAGTTCAATGAGTTTGTGATAAGGTGTGAATGAGAGTTGGCTTGTGTAAGTCATTATAAGAATGAGTCTATTTCTTAAAATACAATTTTTATTAAAGAATAAAATATAAATATAATTTTTGATAATACGTAAAAGTATATAATATTAAAGTATTTCAGGTAAGTGAAGCATAATTGTACAACATGACAAACTATCACAAAGAGACCTAGGTGTGTACTACATTGGTGAGAAATTGAACAATAGCACCTTGGCAACCTCTTTGTTCCTCTCCCAGCACTATCCTCATTCTGCTCTCTAAAGGAACCCATGCTCCTGACTTCTAATTATGGGACGGTTTTGTTGTTTTTTTGAAGCTTATATAGGTGTGCTCATACCTTAGGTGCGCTATTGGGTCTAAAAATCTCTCATGCTGGATTATCTTTGCGAAATCCACTGTTTAGTTTAGAAGTAATTTATTTCTTGTTTGTTACATAGAGTTCCACTGCATGGATACACCAAGGTTTATTTGTTCTACTACTGATCGTCATGTGGGGTTATTTCCTGTTCACGGCATTTACTAAGAATTCCATGAATATTGTACATGTCCTTTGGTACACATTTGTATACATTTCCTTTGTTAAGTTTATACCTACTGTGGAATTTCTGAGTCACAGGGGACATTCCAATTTAGTAGATATTGCTGAAGAGTTTTCCTGTGGATGAACCCAAATCTATCAACAGTATCTGAGCCCACCTATTTATTTTTGAGTGAACATTGCATATACGAAATTTTACAGCCAATTTGAGGTCTTGTATACGGTATGATTTTCTTCTGGAGAGGATTTCCTTTGTTTCTGGCAGGGAGAAAGGTAGGAAGGTAGGCCAGGAGAAAAACACCCAGTTCAGTCAGATGGTTCTTGTTTACATGTATCCCCCAAAGTTCATGTGTTGAAAACTCAACCTCCAATACAACATTGTTGAGAAGTAGAACTTAGAAGTTATGATTGGGTCATGAAGGCTGTATGCTTATGAATAAAATAATGCTGTTATTCTGGGAGAGAATTTTTGATAAAAAGATGAGTTTGGTCCTCTTCTGCTCTCTCTTCCATGCTCATTTGCACTTCCACTTTCTGCTGTGGGATGATCCAGTAAGAATGCCCTCATCAGAGGGCAGAGAAGATGCTGGTGTTTCACTCTGGGACTTCCTAAGCAGTACACTCCTGTTCTTTACACATTAACTAGTCTCAAGTATTCTGTTATAACTGAACAAAATAAACAAAGACAGAAATGGAAATGATTTTAAGCTGGGCTTCAGTCCTCTGCAGAACTCATGTTTACAAATTTATCATTTATTTTAGGATGCAATCTTTCAGGATCCCAGTGATAATCTGGTGTTTACTAGAATCCCTCTTCAATAGTCCTTAAAGTCCAATTTTTGTTACCCAGTTGTTAAAAGTCAGCCAAAGGCAGAATACTTAGCATCCTGTGATGTGGGTGGCATATGGTAAGATGCCAAATGTAGCTCGTACCGTCAAGGTGCAGTTGGGGTTTTGATAAATATTTCACAGAGGCAGTAATTCTTCAGCTGTGTTTTGGAGGATAAAGAGCGGCTTCCAGGCATAGCTGCCGTGGTGTAGTAGTGGTTTGCTGCCCTGCGAGGTTGGAGCCAGTTTCCAGATTGTCCTGGATGTGCTGCCTTTGCATAGGCATTGCTGCGATCCTGGCAGGACGGAAAGGCTAGGGAGAGGATCATGGCATGAGATCTCTGAGGGTACCTCTCTCTCTCACCTCTCAATAAATAAACTTTAAAAAATTTAAATAATTATTAATTTAATTTATTATTACTATTATTTAAAACTTGCTTTTTTTCTTTTCTTTTCTCTCTCTCTCTCTCTTTTTTTTAACTCCATGTCCCAGGATTAGCTAGCCTACCTGTTTTATGCTTTAGATACATAAAAGTAATTTTATATTTATTTTAATTTTGCAAATAAATTCTCCATTGTCAATGTCTGCTGGGTACATTTTTTCCCTTCCAAGTTGGGTGAGCACTCTAGCTCTTAGCCTACGATTAGGGTGGAAAGATGGTCTCGTCGGCCCTTTCCTGCCCACGGTGATTTATACACCCTTACTCCTTGGCAGTATATTCAAGGATTGAGTACTGAGGGAGGAGAAGACTAGAAGGATGCTGAGATATTAATATGAGAGGTGTGACTTTTGTTCCCTCTGTCTCAGTCTTGTAAGATAATGGAGGAAAGTGTGAAGACTTTGAGACTTACTAGGTCATAATGTGCCTATATAGAGAAGTAATACTGACCAGAGGGAGACTCCCTATTGTGGGTTGGTGACCTGCTGAGTCGAAAATCTCGTTCTCTTACTTTTAATAGAACAGCTTCAACCTTTGGAATGGGACTGAGGCCCTCAGAGAGGACCGTGGCTATAAGCTTGTGGCTTGTGATGCTATTTGACAACATGCTCACTGTGACACATCTCACTGGTCTAAAAGAATAAGCTTCTTGGTCCGAGCAAACAAAGATAATCATGATCAAATTTTAGTTTAAAAGTTGGAACTTGTGCTACAACATCATGTTCCTGGGGACACAGCTAATTGCTCTTATTAACAATTATTTATATATTTGGTGATTCACAGACTACTATTTTCTAAATTTTTTTGCTCCATTGAGTAATATCTTTTTTTTTTTTTTTTTCGGAGAGGTTTTTGCTATAGGGCACGTGTGCTCACCAGAAAGACAGAGAGAGACAGAAAGATAGAAAATGAGAAATCACCCCCAGGGGGGATGGCCACATTGCAATCCTTTCTCTTTCATTCTCCTCTTGGGATCTTGGACACACATGAGCATGCGCCCGACATGAGTTTAAGGTACCGGGTCCAGGACTCGAACCACGGTCGACTACATGTGAGTCCAGCGACGTAGCCATTACACCATCTGCTGGTCCCCATTGATTAACATCTTAATATGGATACAAACACCAGAAAGGTTTCTCTGCCAGTCAGTTGTCTCTTACCAATCTCATTTTCCTTTCAGATATTATCTGATGCAACACAGCCCCTTGAAAGTCAGAATTTTTCTCCTGTGGTGAGAGATGTAAGTTATGAGAATTTCTTTCTGTGAATGTGTTTTTTTCCCCCTTTACCATCCTGGCTTTCCTCTCTCTTCCTTTTCTTTCCCCCATTTCTCTTTCCTATCTCTGTTTTCTGTCTCTTCTCTCTGAGTCATGAGCCTGTGTCTGTAGGACTGAAATGTGAATACTAAAGAAATGTCTTGTGTCATATACATTTAGGCAGTGATTACATCCAATGGCACATTGCCTGACAAATATAAATATATCCAGAAACTCCGGGAAAGCAGGTAAGTATTGTTCAAATTCTCTGACTTTATACATTTATTCTTATCTTGGATATGAGGAGTATTTTTTTTTTTAATGCTTTAACAGGAGTTAATATTATGTAATATATACATTTTGTGAATGTTTGTTTATGTAGGAAATCCAAACTAAGTGATTGACTGAAGAGATGTAAATTATTTTCCCCTAAATTGTAGCATACTTCATTTCGGCTTTCTGATCTTTTACGTAGAATCGTGTGGAAGCAAGCAAAAATCCAAATAGGCTGTCTTTTGGGTAGCTTCTTAGTTTTCTAGCGTCTTACATGTCTTGCCTAAGTTATTTTTACAAAGGAACATGAGCATGTTAACACTTTCTGGGGTGCTTTCAGTCTTGGTTTTGACTGAGGGTTGGGACCCCGTTGTCTAGTGTAATATTGGGGAAAGTGGGTTCTTCGTTAACAATTGAGAGAGTAGTGAAGAAGCAAATGGTTAGAGGTAATTTTCTTTGGGAATTCTTATTACGGGGAAGATGCCAAAAAATAATGTGGTCAAAACAGAACAAAACAAAACAATGGTCTTATCTTTCTCAGTGATTCTACCTATTAGGAATAAATAAAGAGAGGTCCAGCAGATGATGTAATGGTTATGTCACTGCACTCCCACGTAGTCAACTGTGGTTCAAGTCCTGGACCCGGCAACTTAAAACTTACGATGGGCGCTGGTGCATGCATGCCCAAGATCCTGAGAGGAGAATGGAGGAGAAGGGATTGTAGAGTGGCCAGCACCTCCACCCCCTGGGGAGTGATTTCTCACTTTCTGTCTCTCTGTTTCTCCAGTGAGCACATGCTCCCTACAGCAAAAATCTCTCTTCAAAAAAAAAAAAAAGTAAATAAAGAGATCTTTCTAGATCAAAAACACTATAGTTATACCTTTCCCATACATGTTCATTTGTTTATGGCTATCTTTTATGTGTCAATACAATAATCTGACATGAGACACTAAAAGAACTTAATCTTTAATTTAAAAATAACTATATAACCCATAGGAAAGTTTCTTATAGGGTAAACTCACATTTATTTTGTTTTAATTGTCACAGGGCATGTATGCTCACAGAGAGAGAGAGGGAGAAAGCATCCCCAAGAGAGCCATGGTCATGCTTCGATCCCTTCTCCATTTCTCTGTCTTGCCAGGGTTTGGGGCACATGCATACACCCAGTACATTTCTCAAGTCACTGGGGGCAAGGTCTAGTTGGTCATGTGGGATCTAGCTCCTTTAACAACGAGGCTATGAGGCCAGACTGATATTTGTTGCTTTTTCATAGCTCTATCTTTTGATTTGTATTATCTCACTTACTGAAACTAATGCCCTGTCTAACATGACCAGTCATGAAGATAATTTCACTCGTATGAACCATAGTTCATGTAGCAGCAGGTCTACTTGGCTCCAACTTCTAGAACTTCCTGCTCTTCTTCCCTAATGGAATTTTGTGCTAAGAGACTGATAATGAATGTTGCATTTGAAAGGAAATTTACCTTCTTTTGAATCTGGCCTATTTATGTTCTTCTTGTTAACTTAGCACAGAAATGATTAACCTGGGGTGTGCTTGGAGGTACTGATGGGGTAGACAGTATAACATTTAGAAGTATGTGTTTAAAACACTTTGAACATTTTACATTTGGAGATCGAAATAATGCTTTAATTCTATAAGTGAAAGAAAGTGTTGTTAGAAAGAATATACATGACCATAATAGTGGTTTTCTCTGGGAGGCGAAATGGGAGGAGATGGTTGCTAAAGGAGATTTCATCAGTAATAGGTAGGCTGGGAGGCAAGAGGGGCAGAAACACATTTTATTTTATTTAATTATAATTTATAAAAAAAGGTTCATGGGGTTAAAGCCCTGTGAGACAATAGGGCTTCCTGCTTAAGTCCTTGGCCCCAGCCCATTTTTATGGTCTCTTGTTCAAATCAGAGAATTTGATTAGAAAGACATTTAGTGAGTACCTTCCATATTCAAGACAAAATACCTTAAACATTTGTGATTTTAAAGATGGGTAAGAGTTACTACCTTGGAAGTTATAGTTTATACAAAAGACAGCATCTTCACCAATGGTATGAATTCCAACAGAATAAACTGTTCAGGAATTAAAATCCTGCCTACTCCTTGTCTTAGATTTCTACAAATAGCTTGTAACATTTTGACTTCAATTTTATGGCTTCATTCTCAGATAACCGCAAAGATATATAATATGACAAAACCAATTCCAGTGTAGATGATGATACTCTTCTCCTCAGATGGTTACCTCCTTGGATTGCTATGAGGAGTAAATACAGTTTCCAATGTTAAGAGCCTAGCATGATTTTGAATCATGTCCCCACAAAAGATAGAGTAGTGAGGTCAAGTTAATTATGAGACAGCCAAAAAATGGCCCATCATTTGCACCTCACGGATAGTGAGGTGTTTCAGGAATTCATGGAAGTCTATGGACATACCTCTCAGAGTTGTCAGGGTCTACTGCTCTTCACTATACAAAATCTAAAGTGAATGGGAAATGCTGGTTCTAAGAAATTCCTGCTTAAGCTCTTATTGTAAGTACTGTGGAAAGAAACTATTGTGTTGTCATCTAGGTTTCTGTTTGGTTTAGGGATGGCAAGATTCTGTTATTGAAAAGCAAATAAAATTTTAAGTTCTCTCTCTTTCCCCCTCTCTCTCTCTTTTTAAAATAGGGAGCGTGCTCAGTCACTTTCGATGCGTGCCAAGAAAAAGGTCCTGGTTCTTGGATCTGGCTACGTATCTGAGCCGGTATTGGAATACCTGTCAAGAGATGGCAATGTAGAGATTACAGTAGGTAAATGTGTCCTAATTTTTGAAAAGTCACAACATGTTGACTTTGAATTTTAGATGACTGTTTTGTTTCTAAAATTGAAAAAATCAAAACCATGGAAAGCAACTGTGGATACCAGACAGTGTGGGAGGAGAGTGAGACATGGCAAAGGATGAGAGGGAGGAAACCAAGGGGGGGAAATTAAAGTATTTAAGAAGCAAGGAATGGAAAATTACTTGTTAAAGATAACATGTATGGTAATATCTTTAATTGAACCAATATATAGTGTATTCTGGATGGGAAAACTCATTTTGTATGCAGCAATGATATACAGTGAATGAATGCAAAATAAATAAATTTACAATAAAAATAATACAAAAGAAAAAGTAAAATAAAAAAATTGCTCAAGTTGTTCAAATGTGTTTTGTTCTTTGACTAGTGAAAGGAAATCTAAAATTGGATGTTTGTATTCCTCAAATAGGCTCTGACGTGAAGACTCAAATTGAGCATTTAGGCAAAAAATATAACATTAATCCCGTTAGCATGGACATTAGTAGACAAGAAAAGAAGTTGGGCTCATTGGTGGCGACGCAGGATCTTGTCATCAGGTATCTGACAAGAAATGGATTATGTGTATTTGTGTTCTTATTTCTCTTCCCTTTCTTTCTCTTTCCTCTCTCCTATTTCTTCCTTTATCTTTTACCCTTTTCCTTCTGTCTCTTCCTCTCCGCTCTCCTTTCTTCTCTTCCTCCCTTCACCCATTTAGTAAACATTTTAATTGAAGTACGTATCTATAGAAGTACACAGGTCATAAGTGGAGAGCTCAGTGAATTTTCACTGAACATGCTCTCTAACCATCATCTATTGTACATCAAGAAATAGGAGGTTGAGGCTGACAGGTGTCATGGTGGTTGAGGTGCTGGACTCTCATATGGCTGACTACAGTTGGAATCCCAGACCTTGCAGCTTGTTTTCTGACTTTCCCTCTTTCTGTCTCTCCGTGTCTCTGTCTGGTCAAATTATAATAAGAAGAAATAAACTTTAATAAGTATTTATTTTATTTTTTTAAAAAAAAGAAATGCTTTGGACCACTAGATAGCATAATGGTTATGTCACTGGATTCCCCCATAATTAAGTCCCGGACCTGGTGGCTTAAAACTCATGCTGGGCACATATGTGTGTGTGCCCAAGATCACCAGAGAACAACAGAGGAGAAGGGATTGTGGCGTGGCTATCCCCCCCCCCCCGGGGGGGGGTTTTTCACTTTTTTTT